CCCTGAACCCTAAACCCTAATACTACCTAGGAGAATGTCCGCATCATCCTGAAGTCCAAGCTAAGGAAGCGACAGGCCCTGGTGAAGGCTGGAACATTCTACTCCTTACACGGTTCAGGGTTAGGGTTTAGGGTTTAGGGTTTAGGGTTCAGGGTTCAGGGTTCAGGGTTCAGGGTTTCGGGTTTAACATCTAAGGCTTTGACTCGTTCATGCCTTAGTTTCAAGCCCGGGGCATGGTGTATAGGGACACAAAAGCCCCATACTCCCTATAGTAAAGCCATATGCAGTATACCAAAAAACAAAATAGTCACAAACATCCACGACCTCTCTGCAGTTTATTTTTGGATGTCTGTTAAGGGTTTAGGGCACTGGTCACCCACTGTGCCGGCACCCTCACGCTTTGCAGGGAACCTCCGAACAGACCTGAGGAGCGTAACAGACTCAAATGTCAGGAAACTAGAAAACGGAAACCCCAAACCCAAAGCCCAGAACCCTGGAGCCGAACAAAATGCGGCGGTATTTTGGATGCCAAGCCCTTCAAACAGGAAGTAACCGCCTTCGATGGTTTGCGTTTGGCATCAGTAAGGATTCAGGGTTTGGGGGGAGCCCTGAACCCTAAACCCTAGACCCAAAGCCCTAAACCCTAAGCCCTAAATCCTGAACCTTAAGCCCTGAACCCTAAACCCTAAACCCCAAACACTGAATCCTGAACCCTTAACCCTTACTAGTTGGAGTAGGGTTTTGGGATATATTATGCCGAAATTATGATGAGGGAACCCCAAAAAACCTATTCTTATTATCCAGGCCCCTATATTAGAGACTTAGCAAACGTGTTGCCAGAAACTTCCAGGCCACTTTAGCACCATGCTTCTACGGTCTAGTCTGCGTAGAGTTGACATCACTCCCCCTCGACCCCCGTGCAAGCGATTCGGTAGGTTTCTCATATCTGCTGCGCAGCTTGAATCAAATGAGGGTTTCCGAAAATAGGGGACCCTAATATAGTACCCAAATATAGTAGGATCCTTGTTATAAGGACCGCCAAAATACGGGGACCCTAATATAGGACCCAAATAGTAGGATCCTTATTATAAGGACCCCAAAATAAGGGGCCCGAATATAGTACCCAAATAGTAGGATCCTTATTATAAGGACCCCCAGAATAAGGTACCCCTCATTTTCGGAAACTCCCAAATCCCTCCTCCCAAGGAGGAGATCGTCGGCCGCAAGCCGAGCTGAAGGCTCTAGCAGACCCCAGCATGGGTTGGGTTAGGGTTTAGGGTTTAGGGTTTAGGGTTTAGGGTTTAGGGTTTAGGGTTTAGGGTTTAGGGTCGTTGAGAATTACGCCATGTCGGGAGAAAGTCTGAAAAGTTACGGTGTCACAGCCCCTACCCCAAGAACCCATAGATCTGTGCGAATCCATGCGTAAGGCCTGTCAACTCAAAGCGCATACTGTGGAAAATGTCGAGCTAACCCAAGCCAGGGATTAGATCAAGAGCCCTCACCGTGGGTAGTTCTCTAAATTAGGCTCCCTTTTAGGGTCCTTTTTATACGGGTACCGTACTATATTGGGGACCCAAAACGGGACCCTAATTTAGAGAACTACCCCTGTACAGTATGGGAAAAGTTGGAACAAGCCCGCGGAGAGGCTGCGAGACCTTTGGTCTCAAGCAGTGTAACTACAGCAGCTACGTTGGACGGCTGACCCTCTTTGGGTTCCTCTACTCTGAACCCTAAACCCTAAACCCCAAACCCTCAACCCTGTATCCCAAACCCTAAACCCTAAACCCTGAACCCCAAACCCTAAATCCTAAACCCTAAGCCCTAAACCCTTAACCCCTAAACCCTACATCCTAAACCCTAAACCCTAAACCCTGAACCCTGAACCCTGTCAAAACATGGATGCTGCCGGTTTGGCTCTACCGGCCTGCGTACCGAACCCGGAATCTCAACAACCGAGAAGACGACAAACAACACTAACCCAAATCCCAAACCATGTACCGATCCAAGATATTAGGGTTTAGGGTTGCAGAAACCTTCATTCTGCTAAACAGTATAGTAATCCTTGTGTCCAGAATCCGACACAAACTCAGTGGCCGCTTCAGAGCCTGCGCAGCTCAGATCTTGCGAACGGACGCGACCTCCCAGACCGTGCATGTTAGCGATCATTTAAACTTGAAAGGCTTTTTCCACAGGTTACGAGAAGGCTTCCTTCGAGGGCTTCGGGAAGGGACCCATAGAAGTCATGTTAGCTTCTGTGAAGGCATCTCAGGTAGTTCATGGGGGGTTATCTAATATAAACAGAAACCATACATACATAATCTGTATGTATGTATACAAGTTGTATACATGACAAAAAGGGTATGCATACATACATACATATATATATATATACAGACATCTATATATATACACACAGACATACGGATGCGTGTTGAAGGTTTAGGGCTTGAGGCTTGAGGTTCAGGGTCTCAGGTTTCCCAGACTTGTGGTGGCAGGAAGTGAAAACGTCTCTCCAGGCCCCCTGCTTTACGAGGCAGAGGGTTTCGTCTAGATTCGCGTCCGTTTAGGGCTTTAGCGCTTTAGGGTTAAGGGTCTATATACCCTAAAACCTAAACCCTAATTTAATGTACCCTCAACCTAAACCCTAATTTAATGTACCCTAAACCCTAAACCCTAATTTAATGTTTAGGCCTTAGGGAGAACCTGAAGATAAAAGAGTCTCAATGCACTCCTCAGATCGCAGGTCGCCTAATCTCACCACAGAACCGGCAAAGGCAACTCAGGGTCGAAGGCCCAAGGTTTAGGGTTTAGGGTTTAGGGTTTGAAGTCTGAAGACGGCCCGAACTTCTTAGTAGTGTAAGGTTTAGGATTGAGGGTTTAGGGCTAGCAGTATGGGGTTTAGGATTTAGGGTTCAGGGCTGATTGAAGGTCTATATACATATATATATATATATAGAGAGAGAGAGAGAGAGAGAAAGAGAAAGAGAGAGCTAGTAGTATAAGGACCCAAATTAGGGGCTCTACTTTCCAGATCCTCCCAGACGTCTGTGTCGGGTATGTAGACCCTAAACCCTTAACCCTAAACCCTAAATCCTAAACCCTAAACACAAAATCCTAAACCCTAAACCCCACAACGTCTTGAGGCGCCTCCAGGACTGACTGGCCCTCTAAACCAAAAGTAGACATCGGAGAGCGGCTGTTCCTTGCGAGGGCTTCCGCTCGTTGGGGGATGAGGATTCTTCGGGCCGCAACTATATGAAGGAGGCCTGCCTAGAGAATATGGCTGCCCTTATCCCTAAGCCCTAAACCCTGAACCCTCAGCCCTCAACCCGAAACCCAAAGCCCTAAACCACGAAAACCTAAACCCCAAACCCGAAACCAAAAGCCCTAAACCCCGAACCCTAAACCCTCAACCCGAAGCCCTAAACCCTAAGTGGGAGATCTCAACTTGGGGTTTGGGCTTCCGGGATTCAGGGTCTGGGATTCCCAGGGATAAGGCTCTGGTTCCCAGATCTTCGTTGTAGTATGGGGATTAGGGTTTAGGGTTTAGGGCTTAGGCTTTAGGATTTCGGAATCTCAGTGGGTTGCTCTACTAGAGTTTGGGGTTTCCCCTTGTCGTAATCTGGCGAGACAACGGATCCTCATCCCCCCCCTTCAATAAGAAATGCTCCGGAAACCATGAAGTGGATCACGTGGTAATTTAATGAACAAACGTCAGATGTGACAGGGTGTTTGGTTCGTTGAACAAGCAAGCTCGTGTCTCTTCCGTGGTGTAAACCACCATCGGGTTTCTTCTGAAGGCTTGGGATTGCCATGGCCAAGGTAGAAAAGGTGTGCGGGCCGCATCCTATAGGCCTTAGAAGGCTTAAGGCTTAAGGGTTTTCGGCGATTTAGCCTCCTGTGTGACGCACCCGCCCGGCAAACCCTGAGAAGGGCGCAGGGTGCGGGCTTTAGAGCTTCAAACCAACGAATAACAACACGTGCCTGTAACAAACCCATCTACAGAGGATTCAAGAAACAGCTTGGAGATTTAGCTACCAACTTGCCCCGAAAACGAGGATGTGCAGGCCGAAGTGCTTCTTCAGCAAGGAGTACACCGTCACCCGCAGACGAGTGCAACAGCCGCTGTCATCATGAGGCACCAGCAGCTTGCGATTCACCTTGTCGCATTCGCAAGGGCAAGTGTACAGCCAAAACTCTGGAACCTAAAAGCTCCTAAGAATCCTAAACTACAAGACCCAAAGCCCACCCAAAAAATAACACCCTAAACCCTGATCATGACGTTCATTCGGGCTCCTTAAGGACTCCTTAAAAAATCCTTTTTGCATTCTTTAGAAGGGACCTGACGACCGTAACCACTGTAAACCAAACGAGTAAACACCGAAACCCCTAAACCCAAGGTTGGGTTTAGGGTTTAGGGGTTCAGGGTTTCGGGTTTAGGAGTTTATGGGTTTAGGGCTAGGGGTTTAGGGGTGGTTTAGGGCTAAATCCTGAGGCTAAGCGTCGACGTAGGTGAAGTTGTCCGCCCCGTCACTCCCCTCTGGCAGCTCCAGGTTCCTTTTCTTACGGGACGGTCGGGGATCTAGGGTTTAGGTGTCTAGGGTTTAGGGTTGGATTGCGTACTGTAGGACGAAGTACGATTTTAACTGTTCTCTGCTATACGATTGGCTTGCTTTGCGGCATTTTGAGATTTTTGGAGTTTCGGGCTTGGTGTTTGCGCTTCTTGGGTTTGGGAATGCCGGTTAGGGGCGTAAGCTTCGACGATTGGTTTCGGGGTTTCGGAACTTCGGCTTCGGGTGGTTGGGGTTGAAGGCCACTGGAACTGCTAGATTCTCGGCAGGGGTTGGCACTCAACCTGGAAGAGAAATTACTACGGTACACGGACATCCCGAGCAAGCGGGTTGTAGTGGCCCAGCTTGGGGCTTAGCATGTGGGAGTCCTTGAAAATTCTTCCACCTGTGCATACTGGTCTTGAAAGAGATTCATTCCTAGACTTGATCAAGATCGTGCATCTGGCTTGGGGGTCTTACTGTTCTGAATGAATCAGGCTTTCAAACTTTAGAAAAAGTCTTTGGAAGTGCAACCACCAGAAGCTCGAGATGCTTAGACGGGTGATCGCAGACTACTTAAGAGAAGCATATGACATGGGTAAAGCTCTACCACATACTACTCCTAAAAGCTTTAAACGCAGCTACCTAGACCCACACCCAACTACTTTCTGCTGTACCTTAAATCCCCACCAGTAAGAACCATATGGAACCATAAGGGCTCTACTCAAGGGCCCTTTGGGGGGGGGTCTTGGTAAGCAAGCAAACCCCTAAGGAGTCCATGGTTGAGGGGCTGATAGTGGTTTGTCATTGATCCGCCACAAAAGGTCATGTCTTCTGTGCACATGCGTACCTGCACACATACATGAGCATACCAGGAATGTCGGGGTATAGCATTACACTGACTATTCTGACCGCCAACTATGTTGCAACATTGACCGAAGACCCTTCTAAACCGCCAGCTCTAAGAATTATTCGTCTTCGGCTTGGGTTGTGTTGGAATCACGGCCGGAGCTGCGCATGTGCGAGACAAGTATCCCCTCGAACGTCAAGCCTCGGCTGCATCAAACTCCAGTGTCGGCATACCCTCATCATAGTGTTTGGGGTCATTCCTACAGCTTCCAATCTGACCATGAATTGGACTGAACCCTCTGTGCCCTCAACAGTACACCCTCAGCCCGAAACCCTATAGTAAGTCCTAAACCCGAAAACTGTTTTTCTCCTTCGCCGAGCATCCCAAGGACTATGGGCCTGCAGAATGAAAGCCCCATAACGTCGCTACTACTGCTACTGCTGCTACTGCTGCTACTACTGCCACTACTCCTACTCCTCCTCCTCCTTCTCCTCCTCCTCCTGCTCCTACTCCTACTCCTACTCCTACTCCTACTGCTACTGCTACTCCTACTCCTACTCCTACTGCTACTCCTACTCCACTCCTACTCTCCTACTCTCCTACTCTCC